AATAGATATCTTTTTGATTTTCCTTCATTCTATCTACATATTCTTTTAATCCAATTGTTTCATCACCTGATTTTGATGTTTGGAATCTAAGTAATTCAGTGATCTAAAAAAAAAAAAAAAAAAAATAATAATATATTTGTTTTATATATATTTCGTCTTAAATATATGTAAAATTTTAAAAAAAAAAAAAAAAATATATATATATATATATATTTTGTTATATTTATGTAAAATATTACATATATTTAAGACGAAATATATATAAAACAAATATATTATTATTTTTTTTTTTTTTTTTTTTAGATCACTGAATTACTTAGATTCCAAACATCAAAATCAGGTGATGAAACAATTGGATTAAAAGAATATGTAGATAGAATGAAGGAAAATCAAAAAGATATCTATTACATAACAGGAGAATCTATTACTGCAGTAGCTAATTCACCATTTTTAGAAGCTTTAACTAAAAAAGGTTATGAAGTTATTTATATGGTTGACCCAATTGATGAATATGCAGTACAACAATTAAAAGATTTTGATGGTAAGAAATTGAAATGTTGTACAAAAGAAGGATTAGATATTGATGATACAGAAGAAGCAAAGAAGGATTTTGAAACATTGAAAGCAGAATATGAAGGATTATGTAAAGTAATTAAAGATGTATTACATGAAAAAGTAGAAAAGGTTGTTGTTGGCCAAAGAATAACAGATTCTCCATGTGTTTTAGTTACATCTGAATTTGGATGGTCAGCAAATATGGAAAGAATTATGAAAGCACAAGCATTAAGAGATAATTCTATGACTAGTTACATGTTGTCTAAAAAAATTATGGAAATTAATGCTCGTCATCCAATTATCTCTGCTTTAAAACAAAAAGCTGATGCAGATAAATCAGACAAAACTGTGAAAGATTTAATATGGTTATTGTTTGATACTTCATTATTAACTTCTGGTTTTGCTCTTGAAGAACCAACTATATTCTCAAAGAGAATACACAGAATGATTAAATTAGGATTGTCAATTGATGAAGAAGAGAACAATGATATTGAATTACCACCACTTGAAGAAACTGTTGAAGGAACTGATTCAAAAATGGAAGAAGTTGACTAAATCTTAAAACATCTTTTAATATCATATATTCTTACTTAGAAAAAAAAAAAAAAAAAAAAAAAAAAAATTAAAAAAAATATATAGTAAAATAAAAATAAATTAACAGGAATATGATTTTTCATATTCAAATATTTAAATATACTTTATGTATTAATTAAAAATTAAAAAAAAAAAAAAAAAAGGGAAAAAAATAAAATAGAAAAAAAATATATATATAAATAAAAAATTCGATTTTATTTAAAAATTTATTATTTTTCTTTTTTTTTTTTTTTATGAATTTCCAAAATAACTTATTTTTTCAATATTATATTTGAATATTTCATTGTGTTGCAATTATTAAAAATAAAATGATATTAGAAATATTTTCATAAAACTTATATTAAAATTAAAAAAATAATTCAAAAACAAAATTTTAAAAAATTAAAGGAACAAAAAAAAAAAAAAAAAAAGTAAATTGTTCAAATAACCATAAAAACATGTAAGTCTATAATTTTTATATATGTATGTCGAAAAAATATATATAATATGAATTTTATATACCTTATTATAATTTTTACTAAGACATTAATTTTTCTTTTTTTTTTAATATTTTGAAGATAGTATTACTGAAAATTTTTATAAATATTATAGCCATTCAAAAAGGCTTTTTCTTTAATAGATCTATGCAAATATTACTAGCATACATCTTTAACCATATTGTGTTTCATCTTTGTAAAAAATATAATTAACTTTTTTTTTAATTTTACCTTGGTTTTTTAATAACTGTAATATTTATAAATTAAAAGAATATTTAAGAATTTTTTCTTTTCTTTTTTTATTTGGTAAAAATGTAAATTTATTTTTGTTTTCATATTCTTTAATAAACTTTTTAAAGCAAATTTTTGACTTGGAAAAATTAATGTTATTTGTTTTTAAAAGAAAAAAATTATATTATTGTAAATTATATTATTTAAAATTAATATTTTTTAACAGATATTTTTTTTACTATTTTTTTTTTTAATAAACTTTATATTATATAAAAACGAAAAAAAAAAAAAAAAAAAAAAATAGATTATAAATACATATACTAAAATAAAGAAGTACATATGTAACAAATGAATATATATAAATGGAAATAAAACAATTTCCTGGGTTTGAAAAAAATTAGTTATTATCATTTTTATTTATTGTTTCATTTAATATAGCTTCATTTTGTTTTCTTAATATTTCTTTTAGATCATTAATTAAAGCATTTTCTCTGTTGGTTCTTTCTTCATAATTAAACATGGCTAATGCCCTCTGTTCTTCTGCACTATAAACTTGATTTTCTTTTCTCATACGAATAGCATTCATTCTTTTATGCCTTGATCCACTCATAACATATCCAAGACTTTCGAAATTTTCAATAGCTTCAGCCGATAATCCAACTTCTCCTCTTCTTGGAATTCTTTTTCCTTTTTGAACGAATTGCGCTATTGCTTGACCTTCTCCAGGCATCATAGCGACACCATAATCAATTTGTCTATTCGCTAACTTAACATTTACATCTAATGGTTTGGGGCCTAAACTTTCGTTATCTGACGATTTATCGGAATAAAGATATGCTTCTTTATCTGTTTTATCTTTTTCACAAGATATTTCTTTTTCAATAATTTTTAAATTATTGTTTTTATAGAAAACATTTTCTTCACATTCCTTTGTTTTTTCTTTTGGTATATTTTCTAATTTGTTTTCTTTATTCTCTTCCTCTCGTTTATTTATTTGATTATCCTTGATAAAATCACAACTGTCTTCACGAACCTGTTCTTTATTTTTTTTATTTTCGATAGTCATGTTTTTATCAACAAAATCATATTCTTCATTAAGAAAAGATAATGAAGTTACAGATGTAGATGTCTGCTCTGATGTGTCAGATTCGTTTCCTTCATCACTATCTGTGTTCGTTAAATGTTTTCTATTTTTTTTATACTTTGATCTATTTTTTTTATCATATTTTTTATTATCTTTTAATTTATTTTTTTTATGTGATTTATGTTTCCTTTTATTTCTCTTTTTATCCAAACTATCATCTTTTTTATGGTGTTTCTTTCTTTTCTTTTCTTTTTTTTTTTCTTTATGCAATTTGTGCTCTTTATAATTTTTTTTATCTATATGATATTTTTTAATTTTTTTTTTTTTTTTTTTTTCTTCATTTTTCTTTTCTTTTCTCGATTTGCTACTATGTTTTTTCACTTTCTTTTTTTTAGAATTTACACTTTCTATTTTGTCATAAGATACTGATGACGAAATTGTTAAATCTCTAGAACTTTCCAAAGTATTATTATCGTGTTCCTTTTTTAATTTTTTGTCCTTAGATTTATTATTTAATTCATTTTTTTTATTTTCTTCCGTATTTTCTTCTTTTCCCTTATTTTCAATTTTTTCATTTATTTCTTCAGTTTTTTCCTTTTTTTTATCTTCATTTTCGTCTTCGCCTTCGTCTTCATCTTCTGAAATTTTTACATAATTTTCCCATGTAGTTGGTGATAAGGAACTTGATTTTCTAAAAATTTTATGTTCATCAAAATGTAAACTGAATCTGTAATCATTTTTTTTTTGTAACCATTTAGTGTAATTCATCCAACTTTCCTTAGTTGTATGATATCCTAATGGAACTCTAGAATATTTCACTTCTATTTTTTCTCCTGTTATTTTATTATATAGATATTTAGAATTTCTCCCTGCTTTATTAAAAGTCATATTATCATTATGCGAAAATTTTTTTTTTTTATGTATATTATTGTGGTGCTTTTCATCCAACTTATATTTTGTTTCATCATTTTTATTATATAGGTAATCATTATCTTCATGGTCGAAATTCCTTTTTTTTTTCTCCTTTTTTTTAAATGAGTTATCCATATCATTTGATATTATTTCTTTGTGCGATTTCGTATAACTGTTTTGTAATGAAGCTGATGATAAAGATCTACTTAGGCTTTTATTATATATATTTGTATTTCTTCTTTTAGTTTTAATATTATTGTTGTCTCTAGAATTATCTTTGCTATCTCTTGAAAAACTTTTTCTAGAACTGTGTTTTTTTTTTTCATAGAAGCTGCTACCAGTATTGCTTCTTTCACTTTTTGTAAATGCGCTACTATTGCTATAACTAGTAAATGTACTTCTATTTTCACTAATACTTCTACTAACACTAGTAGTATGTCTTCTATGTTTATTAATGATTTCTTTTCTTTTATCACTACTACTGCTTTCTTTATCACTAAAGCTGTTTTGATCATTACTACTACTTTTATATTTATTATCATATATTCTATTTTCTCTTTTAAACTTTTCTAACTTTTTTATCAGATTTTCTCTAATTTTTTGTTTATCTTTTTTATTTACTAATAGATCACTTGTATTGCTACTATTACTTTTTTCTATTTCATATTTTTCAGAATAGTTTTCTTTTTTTCTTAAATGGTTCTTTTGATATATCATTGAATTACTATTCTCTCTTTTACTATGATGTTTTAATTTTTTTAATTTTTCTTTAATTTTCATAGAATTTTTTTCATTATCTTTTTTATTTATTCTTACATTATCTATGTTATTATTAGTATTCTTCACTCTATCTTTGCTCTTTCTTAAATCTTCATACCCATTTGAAGAACTTGATGATTTTTTTCTATCCAATTCATTACTTTTCATTGAATATTATTGCTTATTAATTTTTTTTCTTGTGAATAAAAATACATAAAAAAAATTACATATGTTATACAATTCAGTTTATTATTTTTACCATTTTTTTTTTTTTAATTAAAATTTTTATTATATACTATTAAATTATATAATTTAATAGAATATAGTCACATATATATAATGTTTATATATTTAAAATATTTACAATGGAAAAAAAAAATTTTAAATAATTCGCTTAATAAAATTTAGCGAATATAATTTTTATATTTTTTAATTTGTTCCACTTTAAAGTTTTAAAATTTTTATTTTTATTTTCATTAATATATTTTTATTATGTTTTATTTTTCTTTATTTAAATTTCTTCATATTTTTATGTTTTTATATTAATGTTGCTATTTTTTTCTCAATTCAATTGTCAGCTCATTTTATAAAAATTGTTTTTTTTAACATATACATTTATGGGAGTTAAATATTTTTAAAAAGATTAAAGACATTTCAAGATAAAAAAAATAATTTAAAATTAACTCTTTTATTTTTGTATATTTCATGAGATACCAAAATATTATATGTTATAAATGAAAATTTTGCGAAAATCATATGAAATCTCTCATTTAAATAAACATTTTAATTTTATCATTTATGTCCTTATATTAATATAAAAAAAAAAAAAAAAAAATAAAAAAAAATTAGAAAAAAAAAAAAAAAAATTCTAAAATTATATAATTATTAAAAATTATTTCATCATTTCATGATATCTATATAATTCTAATAAAGAAAAATATATATAATGATTAATATTATAAAAAAATAATAAAAAAAAGAGAAATAAGAATGCCAATAAAATATGAGCCAAAGTTAAATGTATACATACGGTAATGTAATCAATTATTTAAGAGTTGTATTAAACAATTTTTTTTGTGTAAATGAACAATTATTATATTAAAAATAAAAAAATAAAATAGTAGAAAATAACAAATTTATTTAAATATAAATATTTTAGAATTGAAAAAATAAAATAATTTTTTTTTTCTTTTTTTTTTTTTTTATTTTAAAGCTTTTCTTTAAAATTTATTTGAATAATCATTATCCAATATAGGAGGAGCTTTGTGAATATACTTATTTTCTTCTATAGGAATATCAAAGGGAACAGGTACGATAACATTTTCTAAAATTATATAAGGTTTTTCAACACAGCAATCTACATAAATAATATCATCACTATATTTTATAACCGGTATAATTTTTTTCTTTATAGGAACTATTTTAAAATGATCTTTAAATTTTAAAATAGGGACTTCAACAGGAATAACTATAGGTTTTGGAACTAAATAAGTATAATCAACGTTAATGTTTTCTTTTAAATTACTAACCACTTCAATATTTTTTTCTAATTTTGGTACAAATACTGTTTCAATTTTAGGTATTATACTTTCATCTTCTTTAAATAATTTGAATTGATTCTTTTTGTTTGGATTTTTTTTATTAGGATTTTTGCTATTAAATATATTTCGAAATTTTATTTTTCTTAGATTTGTATTTTTATTTTTTAATTCTGCTTCCTTCTCATTTTCTAATTTTTTTAAATCTTCATATAAATTTACAAGGTATTCATCACCTTTTTTAACGTAAGAATTTACTTCTTCAACTAACTCAACTGGTTTATAAAAAGCATTTATTTTTGTATTGGTACAATGAATAATTTTTTTTGTTATTGGTTTTATGACACTAACATGTAACTCATTTTCTTGATTAATAAAATTATCACTTCCATTAATTTCAATGTTTTCATTGTCCTAATATAAAGAGGAAGGAAAAATAAAAAGTTAAATTAAATTAGATGATTTATAAAATTATTAGCGAATATATTTATTTATTTCATCTTTTTTTAATTTTTTTAAGTATTTCATTTTTTACTATGTACATTAATGTTTTTATTAGATTCTTGTATTAATTCCATTATTAATAATTTTAAAATATTTTCTTTGAAAATAAATATACATATAAGTATAATTAAATAAATGCTTTATTTCTTCTAAAAAACATAAATAATTAAAATATATGTACAAATAAAAATTGTGTCTATTATTTAAATAAAAGTAGTATTTGTAATAAATTTTTTATATATTAGTACATATGAGATTATTAGTATAAAATTATATATATACATATTTTTCTATAAACTATGAAACGATATTTCAAAACAAATATTTTTTTAAAATTATGCTATGGAAGTTTTTGTAAGCACAAAAAAAAAAAAAAAAAAGAAAAGAAAAAAAAATATATACATTTCTTTTTATTTTTTTTCAAAAATATGTATTTGTTTTATATAAATTACTAATTCTATAATTAAAATTATTAATGTTTTAAATATTAAAGCTTACACATATACTTATTCATACAATTATATCAAAGAAAGATATAATTTGTAATATAACTTTTTTTTTTTTTTTTTTTTTCTATGTACAATTCAGAATAAATATATTTAATGTTGCAACTTTTTTTTTTTTTTTTTTTTTTTTTTTTTTTTGGCTATGTTAGCATTGGAATTATTTTAATATTATGATTATTTGTTTAAATGAATAATGTTAAAAAGGTGTAATGTATAAATATCAAAATTATGTCATTCATTTATATAAAAAAAAAAAAATTTTCAGAAAAATGGAGATCATTTCAAATAATGGAAATTTACTCAAAGTAACAAATATGTAATAAATTAATCTTAAAAAAATATACAAAAAAAAAACATTTGAATGAAAGAATATATAAATACTTATAATACTATAATTTGAACATGTACATAGTTCTATTACTTTTAGTATTTTACTTAATAATAGACTGTAAAAATATTATTTTTAATTAAAGAAATATTTACATATATATATTAACATATTACACTTTGTTGTTTTCTAAAAAAACACACGTGTAATAAATATAATAACACATAATTCTTAATTTATTCATTCTTCCTGTTATCTTTCTTTTACTCTTCGTCTTCTTCTTCTTCTTCTTCTTCTTCATCTTCATTTATATTAGCTTTTTCAGCAGCTTCTTCTTCTCTTTTTCGAAGAAGTTCCGTATCGTGATGATATTTACTCATATGTAAATAACAGGGATGGCTAGGTAAAAAGTCTTCAAGAATCCAATGTGGCCCCCTTTCCTTTCTTCTTCTATCTAAATATCTTGTAATAGGGTTTGTATTTTCAGCTCTTTCTCTTTCTTTATTAGCTTCTACCCATTCCACTGTAAACCTCTTAGGTTTAATTCCAATATAGGAAACGTGATGAAATGTGAAAGATAATCCAAAAGCAAGCAAAAAATATGGAATAAAAGCTAATGGTAAGGGATATTGTAATAACCATGCTAATAAAGGTTTGTGATCTTTTGCAAACTCTCCATATAAGTAAGTATGAAAAACCCCAGCTGGTCTTAAGGTCCATCTTTCCCAGTCATATTTATGGTTATAATATCTTTGATTTAATCGATATTTTTTTGGTTCTCCATTTGGTAAAAATTCTCTTGGTGGGGGTTCTGGGATATTAATACCTAAAGGTTGGGAAGCAACATATCTTTTAAGTACATTATTAATATTACTTTTCAAAGAAATTTTCAAATAATCTTTGTAATTATGCTTTTTTAATAAACTATTGTTTATGGGCATTTTTTAAAAAAAATTATTTCTTCAAAACTACTCTTTTATTATGGATATTTATAAATTATATGTTTAAAGCATGTAAGTTTTATAGTAATATATATGATTTATATTAATTAAAAATAATATAAATTGAATTAAAATTTTTGTTATATTAAAAGAACTGTCATCTCGCATATTTAAAAAAAAAATTAAAGATTAACAGCATTAATATTTTTATAAAAATTTATTTCTTAATTATTTTTTCTTTATTTCATTTATTAAATACAAAAACTTAATTTCATTATAAAAAAAAAATAATTAAATATTACTTTTACATAAAAATTATACAATTATACATGTATATATGTGTATATATATATATATTTATATATATATTTTCTGTTGGGGCTAAAAAATAAAATATTTTATAAACGAATTTCTTTTTTTTTTTATTATTTATTTTATAAAATATTCTATTTTTCTTGCACGTGTAAAAAGTAGAAAATTATAAATTTTAATGGTTAAAAAAGATAATAAATATCTTAGTTTTTCTTTTTTTTAATATATATTTTTATAGTTATTCAAAAACATTAAAAATTGTATAAACATTTTTTACATAAAAACATCTTATTTAAAAAAATATTACTGGATTTCTCAATCTTTTTTAAAATAAATTGTACTTTTTCATTTTATGAATTTCAATGAATTTTTAAAAATAAAAATTTATACTGAAATAAAAATTATTAGGTAATATATATATTTATATATATATATTTTTAATTATAATTAAAATATTTTATAAAAAAAATAAAATAATTCCCAATTTTTATAATTATGAAATATCGTTTTACGCATCCAAAATAAGTATTATCAAAGAAACATGCAATATTTTTAAAAATTAACAAATTCAAAATGTCGATTTATAAAAAAGAAATCCATACTATATATATATATATATAGAAATTTAGATTTTTAATAGTAATGAACATAATTCCTATATTTATATTAGACTAAAACAAGTTTGCATTTTAACGAATAAGTATATTCGAGCATTATATGTTATGCTTACTTCTATGTTATAGAAGCAAATACATATAAAAAAATAAAACATATTTTTATGATTTTCATAAAATAGCTTTCATCTTCGTAAAATTTTTAAAAATAAAAGAAAAACAAAACTTGTTATTTTAAATATATAGTACATCTATATAAAATGTAATTTTTATAAATAATAAAAGCATTACCTTCTATTTTCTCATTTCATTAATAATCAAATATAAGGGATTCAAAAGTCATATCGCAGGTTTAAATATATTAGTCTTATCGAAAACAATTAAACCAAATCAGAATTAAAAAAAAAAAAACAAACTTTGTGTCCTATGCATTAAGTAAAGTGTAGGATATTTACAATTGAGAATATATAATGCATAAAGTTATAAATATTTTGATATAAAAAGCTCTATTTTTTAATTAAAATATAAATTGTACTTACTGATTTTTGTTTAAATTTCATAATTATTCTACATTATAACAAAAATTGTTTTACTTAGGAATTTTTGATATAATTCCCCTTTATTTTTAATTTTATATGTGTAATATTTTATCGATTTGATAATTATAATACAAAAATCAGTTACCTTTTTTTTTTTTAGATAATATGTATATATTATACATTAATTTTTTTTTCTTTTTTTTTGTTGTTGTAAGTATATTATTTAATATAATAAACTTACCTTTTTTTTTTTTTATTATTAAAAGATATTAATGAAAAACCCTAGTGCATGAAAATAAAAAAAGGTGCACAATAGCAAGGTGCAATCATTTTTAATCACTGAATTTTCTTTTAAATGAGGAAAATGTTTTTATGTATTTATGTAATCAGTTAAATTTGTAATTTTTTTAAGCATATTTCTTCATATGTTAAATTTGGAAATTAAAAAAAAATTATATATTTATACATATTTGGCTCCTTTAACTTACATTTTTTTTCTCTTCTATAATATATTAAGACAATAGATATACTTTGATTATTTAAAAAGCAACTTTATTTTTTTTATGTTTTATAAATAACATATTGTATGTGAAAGCTATAAAATAAAAACATATATTTATAACGTATTCAAAATATATTCAATAAAAAAAAATAACAATAAATTTAAGCTTAAAAATAAATTTTTAGTGTAAGGAAAAAATATATTTTCATAAATGAAGCTTAAATAGTTAAAAATATATTACAATAACTTATTTTTAATTACAATTTAAAATTTCTTTCCTTTTTAATATAATTAATTATTGTTCTAATATACGACTTTAAAAAAAAAAAAAAAAAAAAAAAAGTGTTTTCTTTATACATAGTTTAGGCTTTTAAAATTAAATACTTTAGTGCATAATTTGAAATATTTTTTAAAATAATAGTATTTTAATGCATATTATATATGTTTAAAAATAAAACATTTAGCATGCTTAATAAAAATAACTCATTTAAAAAATCTCCAAGTATATAATTTTTTTTTTTTTTTTTTTTTTTTTATGTAATTAAAAATTAAATAAAAATATTACTTAAATTTTAATATCAATAAAAATATTCATTTAAAGTTCAGGAACAAACTTTAAAGAGTATTCACATCATAAATATAAAATTTTAAAAGTACAAAAATTAATAAAATTATAATTTATAAATAAAAAAAAATAAATACTTTTTAATTGGTCACAAATTTAAAGTTGAAAATTAAAGATTAAAATTAACAAAAAAATATTTTAAATAATTACTAAAATCTGGCAAAAATAAAAATTAAGTAGTATTTTTATTGATTTAAAAAAAAAAAAAAAAAAAAAAAAAGGAAATATAGAATATATAAAAAAGAAAAAAATAAAATAAAAAATATCATAAATAAAAAATATTAATAAAAATATATTTTAAATAATAGAAATTATAATTAAAAAAGAAAAATTAATTTTAAAACTCTATAAAGCATTAAATAAAGAAAAAATATTTATATAAGTTGATTTAAACAAAAAAAAAAAAAAAAAAGTAAAAGAAAACATGTCAGTACTAGGTATAGATATAGGAAATGAGAATTCAGTTGTTGCAACAATAAATAAGGGCGCAATTAATATTGTGAGAAATGATTTATCAGAAAGATTAACCCCAACATTAGTTGGATTTACAGAAAAAGAGAGATTGATAGGTGATAGTGCTTTATCCAAATTGAAATCTAATTATAAAAACACATGCAGAAATATAAAAAATTTGATTGGTAAAATAGGAAAAAATATAGAAGATGATGTGGAAATACATGAAGCTTATGGTAATTTAGTATCATGTGAATATAATTATTTAGGATATGAAGTAGAATATAAAAATGAGAAAGTGGTTTTTAGTGCTGTTAGAGTTTTATCCGCATTATTATCTCATTTGATAAAAATGGCAGAAAAATATATGGGAAAAGAATGCAAAGAAATTGTTTTATCATATCCACCTACTTTTACTAATTGTCAGAAAGAATGCTTAGTAGCAGCTACAAAAATTATTAATGTAAATGCATTGCGAATTATTAGTGATAATACTGCAGTTGCATTAGATTATGGTATGTATAGAATGAAAGAATTTAAAGAAGATACAGGATCTTTATTAGCTTTTGTGAATATTGGTTATGCAAACACATGTGTATGTATTGCTCGTTTTTTTTCTAGTAAATGTGAAATTTTATGTGACATTGCTGATGCAAACTTAGGAGGAAGAAATTTAGATAATGAATTAATAAAATACATAACAAATTTATTTGTAAATACATACAAAATGAATCCACTTTATAAGAATAATACATCCGAACTTTGTGAAATGGGTACAGGAAGATTAGACAAATTTATTATTTCAAACAATGAAAGAAACGAAATTAATAATAAAGTTCGTATTAAATTACAAGAAGTAGCAATTAAGACCAAAAAAGTTTTATCAGCAAATAATGAATCTTCTATACATGTAGAATGTTTATATGAAGATCTAGATTGCCAAGGATCTATTAATAGGGAAACTTTTGAACAATTATGTTGCGATTTTTTTTTATCAAAATTACAAAATTTATTAGATAAAGCAATTGCCATTAGCAAAGTAAATATACAAGATATTCAATCAATTGAAATATTAGGTGGATCAACAAGAATCCCATTTATTCAGAATTACTTACAGCAATATTTTCATAAGCCTTTATCAAAAACGTTGATAGCTGATGAATCTATTGCAAGAGGATGTGTTTTATCAGCTGCAATGATAAGTAAGCATTATAAAGTAAAAGAATATGAATTCATAGAAAGAATAACTCATCCAATAAATGTAGAATGGCACAACATAAATGATGCTTCTAAATCAAAAGTTGAAAAATTGTACACAAGAGATTCTATAAAAAAAAAAGTAAAAAAAATTGTTATTCCAGAAAAAGGACAAATAAAATTAACTGCTTATTATGAAAATACTCCTGATTTGCCATCTAATTGTATCAAAGAATTAGGTTCATGCATTGTAAAAATTAATGAAAAAAATGATAAAATTTGTGAATCGCATGTAATGACAACTTTCTCAAACTATGATACATTTACGTTTTTGGGAGCTCAAACAGTTACTAAAACTGTTGTAAAAGCAAAAGAAGAAAAAAAAAAAACAGAGGAAAAAGCAGAAGAAAACCAAAAAAATGAAAATGAAAATAAGGATGAAGAAGAAAATGAAAAAAATTCGGAAACAAATAAAGAAAAAGAAAAAGATACTAATAAAACAGAATTAAAAAAAGGAGAAGAAGGAAAAATACAAACATGCTATACTACTATACCTATTGAAACATTATTAGCTCAAGGATCATATAGTTCAAAAGATATTTTTAACTTTAGCGAATCAGAAATAAATATGCAACATAGTGATATTTTAGAAGGAGAAAGATTAAAACATAGAAATGAATTAGAAACAATTATATATGAAACAAGGAATCGTATTAATGGAATGTATAAAGATTTTGTTGTTGAGGAAGAAAGAAATTCCATTTTACTAGCCATTGATGATTTTGAAAATTGGCTTTATGAAAATATTGAAGAAAATAAAAATATGTTCATTAAGAAAAAAGAGGAAATTAGAGATATTATTAAAGATACAGTATATAGATATGATGTATATACCTCAAAACAACAAAATTTAGGAAATATAATTAATCATTTAAAAAATATTATTTCTCAATGTGGAGCTAGACCATCTGAAGAAAGTCAAAATATTATAACAAAAACTACAAAATTTTTAAGTACTATTAATTCTCTTCAAGAACAAGAAAAAAATAAAAAATTATATGAACCACCTATTTATACTTTGAATGACATTGAAGGAGAATTCAATGAAGTAACTCAACTAGCTCAAAAATATTTTTCAAAAATAGAAGCAGAAGAATTAGCTAAACAAAAAGAAAAGGAGAAAGAGAAAGAAAAAGAAAAAGAAAGAGAAAGAGAAAAAAATATGGCAAAAGAACAAGAAAAACAAAAAAATGAAGAAAACGAAGTTAATGAAAATCAAGAACAAAATAGTAAAGATATGAAAAATAATGATGAAATGGATAATTCAACTAAAAATGATAATCCATGTAGTACAGAAGAAACGGATATTTAAATTTATACTCTTTATGATATAATTAATTTTATATATATATATATATATTTCTTTCTTTTTTTTTTCATGCATTTGTATATGCAAAAATATATATATATATTTTTATTTAAGTTGATTGTGTATATCATATTACTTTTAATAATATGTGTATTAACAAGAATTAAATTTTTATGAGAATAAAATTATATAGCTTTTTTTGATGATAAAATGAGTCATTGTTTAAATTAGTTTCCAAGATTATAACATATTTTTTCATAATATATGTTATTTTATTCTTTTTTTTTTTTTTTTTTTTCCTATTTATAATAAAATGTTTATAAAATTATATATTTTTTATAAACCACATGAATCTTAAGATATATATATATATATATATATATATATATATATATATATATATATATATATATATATATATGTAATCAAAAAATTTTAATAATTACAACATATTTTGTGTCTATATAATTTTTTTTTTTATTTACAAATATTTTATTTATTTTATGCGCTGATGCTTTTTTTATTTATAGTTAAAAATAGTATTTTTCATATAATTTATAATATTATTTTATATGGCAATAGACTTTAGAAAAACAGCAAAAAATTAAAATTAAAAACAAAAAACTAGACAAAAAAAGAAAAAATAAATAATAAATTTTATAAAATTTAAATGCAATTTTTGAGATAATGAAGATTTTTTTTTTTTTTTTTTTTTTTTTTTAAAAATAAGTTTAAATATAATAATATACATCCGTTTTTACCTTTAAACATATATAATTTAGTAAAAATAAAAAATAAAAATATGCATATAATACATGTTGAATAATTCATTATTGCAGTCTTTTATAATTTTATAGAAATAAAATAATATGAATAAAGTATACAACTTTTTCTTTTCACTATTATTATACATTCAAATATTTACTTGTTTTTGTTAATAATATGTAGTTTATTTTCCTTATTTTTATTTTCTAAGTATTCATCTAAATAATGTGATATTTTTTCCACCATTTCATTAATCGTACAATTTTTTCCAAAAAAATCAACAAATTGACCTTCTGTATCTAGTAAATAGTGAATTATTGAATGATCGATTAAATAGTTATATTGATCATTTTTATTTGCATTAGTTGTATTTTCATTATTTATATTCTCATTATAATAAACACGAAATAATTTGGCAACACTTTTAATAAGTTCTTTGGTTCCAGTTAAACCAATTAATTTATCACTAAAAGATTTGCAATAATAATTTATTTGTGCTACTGTATCTCTATTGGGATCAACAGAGATAAAAATAGGAGTAATTAAATCTCCATATTTCTTTCTTAATTTCTCTATGACAATTGTTTGTTTTTCTAATTCTTGTGGGCATATATCAGGACAATACGTAAAACCAAAATAAATTAGGCAGTATTTATTTTTAAATGATTTATTTGTTATAATTTCTCCATTTTGATTTACTAAAGTGAAGTCTCCTCCTATTAATGGTTTTCCTATATTTTGCACTGAAGTTTTACTAACATTATTTCTCCTCTTTTTCTGATCTTGTAATATATATAAATATAATGTAGGAATTGTTAAAGCTAAGTTAAATGCTAAACATTTCCATGTTAAAAATACATTTTTCTTTTTTGATATTTTTTCCTTATTATTTGTAGAATATTTTAATTTATTTCCAAAATTTTTTTTTTTTAAATTTTTTACATTAAAATAACTTCTTTTTATATCAAAATTCATATAATTTAATATCTTTATATTATGTAAATTATTTATGTAATTTTTTATTATTCTATTCATTTTTTATAGTAAATAATTATATTTAAAGTATATATATATATTGTTATAAAAAAAGGAAATTTTAATTATTTTTTAAACAATTATCTATATTTTTTTTTTTTTTTCTCTCTTTTTTTTTTAATTCTTATTATACTCTCCCTATATTTTATCTAATATACATTTCTTTTTTTTTATTCCTATTTGTTAATATCCATTTCATAATACTTTACAATTATTATTAATTTTTTTTTTTTTTTTTTAATTTTTTTAAACTATTTTTATAATGTTTATTTTTAAAAGAAAACTTAAATTGTATAAAAGAGAAAATCAAAATTTTGTATTTAATCCATTCAATTAGCACCCCAAAATATTCATATGGAAGTCACATATTTACACTTTTTTCTCATTTAAAGTGCATTTTATTCATAAACGTAACTATATACATATAAATATTTACATTATTAAAATCATATGTTATTAAAACAATTATTAAGTTATTACATATTATAACTATATAAATTACATTCTAAGATTAAGTAATAACTACATCTATTATTTAAAAAATTAGAAAAATGAATACCAATATTTTAAGAAATTTTTTAATCTTTAAAGTTAAAAAATTTTCCTTTACTAATTCAAAGGAAACTTTCTCTTAATTAGATTTTTATATTATATTTTTTTTTTTTTAAAATAAATATATAAATTTTTTTTTTATTTATTATTTAAAAATATATATAATTAAACTCATTTTTATTTATATCATTGTAAAAGTTACCAAGCTATATTTACATAATAAAACAAAAGAAAAATTTCAGTAATCATATTTTAAGATAAAAAAAATTACCTTTGTTGTATATTGTAGTTACTTAATGTACATTTAATTTTTACAATTTTGATCTTTAGTTTTATTTCTTATTTTATTTTTTTTCTTTCTATTATTTTAAACCCTTTTTGTATTATTAAATATATTGCAATACTTTCTAAATTATTAAATATTAGAATAATTTATATATTCATATATATATATATTAGAAAATTAAATATATACATTTATATATATTCTTAAATAATTCTTACTAAATATATATTTGTATAAACTATATTAATAAAAGATTTGTATAACTATACTAAATATATGATGTATTATTAATAAATTTTTTTCATTATGACTAGTGGTTAAATGAATTTAAATATATTCACATTATATTTATTAATTTTTATTATTTGTTATTTGTTCTGTAGAATTTTATCTTCAATTGCTTTATTTTAATTTTCTTTTTTTTAGATAATATATAATTGTATATTCGTCTTAACATTTTTTTTTTTAATTAAAATATTAATAAAATGACTGTTAATACGAAAAATAGCCAAAATAATCTTAGCAAAATGGATGAACATTACAAAGAATTAGATACCTTATTAGAAGATAGAAGTAATAAAAAAAAAAATTAAAATAAAGGACAACAAAATAAAAGAAGCTAATATATTAAATATCAATATCTATAATTAAAAAAAATAATATAAAATAATTAATCCAGTATTATTAGTTACGCAAAGTATTATTTGTTTTTTTGAAAAAAATAAACATTAAGAGAATATAAGAAATACCTAAATAAATAGTAGACTATATATATTTTAAAAAATAATATTTTCTTTTTTATCACTTTAGATGAAATTCAACGTAATAGAATTTCCTTTCTAAGAACACTTATAAATTGGGGGAAGTTCATATTTTATGAAATCAAGAGCAATATATTTATTTATTTGTTAAGCCTTTTATATTTAAGCGTTTGTGTAATGAATAAAGTTTTTGCAAAAAGAACAATGAATAAGATTGGTAATTATAGTTTTGTAACTTCGGAAATACATAATACTATTTGTATTTTTGTTTTGTTTTTGGTTTATTTTTTTTTCAGTAACTACAACAATAATTCAAAGGTAAAATAATTAAAATATATAATAATAAATTAACAAATAAGAAAGATAGTATTTTTTAATGATATATATATTATTCTATCATTATAGAAAAGAAGAAAAGAACCTATATTCTATTATTTATTTATATCCCTATTAGATGCATCTACAGTAATTATTTCTTTTATAGGTAAAATATATTTAAATAAGAAATTTTATTTTTATTAATAAATATTTGAAATAAATTTAATTTTAATAATTTTTTTTTTTTTTTTTTCTTTTTAATTCTTTTTTTTTTTAAGGACTTACAAAAACTACAGGAAATATTCAGTCGTTTGCTTTACAATTGAGCATACCAATAAATATGTTTTTTTGTTTTTTAATTTTAAGATATAGGTAAGAATATTACAAAAATATATACATGAATATATATATATATACAAATATATATTTATATACATATATATATTTATATACATATATATATTTATATACATATATATATTTTTTTTTTTTTTTTTTAAGATATCATTTATTTAATTACTTAGGAGCATTTATAATTGTTGCAACTATAGCAATAGTAGAGATGAAAATGTCAATGGAAATACAAGAAGAAAACTCAATAATATTTAATTTAATTTTCATAAGTGCCCTAATTGTAATATTATTATTTATTTACATTTTTTTCCTTATTAAAAATAATTAAATTTTTCATTATGATATATTAATTTTTTTTTTTTTTTTTTTTTTTTTTTTTTTTTAGCCATTATGTTTCTCAAACATGACTAGAGAAATCGTTTTTAAAAAATATAAGATAAATATTCTAAAATTGAATGTTATAATATATATATATAAATATATATATATATAATTTTAATTTATTAATTTAATAAATTTATATTTTTATATAGGCAATGATATCTTTATTTCAATTATTTACCTCTTGTCTAATTTTGCCAGTCTATACACTTCCATTTTTGAAACAACGTTAGAATTAATTATATAGAATTTTTATATTTAATATAAATAAATTATAATTTTTTCTTCATTATATTTAATTTTATTATTTATTTTATTTTTTTTTTTTTTTTTGCAATTACAGTTCAACTTCCCTTTTCGGAAATTCTTATAAATATCAAAAATGGTTTTTCTTGTTTATTTTTGGGAAAAAATACTATTATTGAGGTAGTCTACAAATTAATATAAACTTTATAAGTATCCTTTTTTATTATTTTTATATTTTATACTTAAAAATGAATTTATACGTCATTTTACCATTTAGAATTGTGGTCCTGGTATGACCAAAATGTGCGATGATTGTGAAGGGGCATGGGTAAGAAATATAAAAAAATATATTATAAATAAAGGAAAATTAATTAAATATAAAAATAATAATACTTTTTATTACTGTTTTTTTTTTTTTTTTTTTTTTCTTTCTTTTAGAAAACATTTATAACATATTCTTTTTTTAATATTTGTGATAACTTAGTTTCTAGTTATGTAAGAAATAAACAAACAAAAAAAAAGAATTATAAAAGAAACATAAAATAAGAATTTATTTTATAAAAATTTATCTTATATTTTTTTATTTTTTTTTTTTTTGAATTTTGCGTAAATAAAATGTTATTTATTTTTTTTTTATTTTTTTTTTTTGTAGATAATAGATAAATTTTCAACAATGACATATACTATTGTTAGTTGTATACAGGGACCAGCAATAGCAATAGCTTATTATTTTAAATTTATAGCTGTAATTTATTATTTTGAATTATCTAATATATATTCTTAATATTTATATTAATAATATTATTATAAATGAACTTTTTTTAAAATTTTTTTATAGGGAGATGTTATGAGAAAACCACGAATTTTAGATTTCGTAACTCTGGTAAAGAAAATTATAAAGAAATATTCATATACATATATATATATATATATATATATATAATAAAAAAAAAAAAATTTATTAACTTTTTTTCTATAGTTTGGATACCTCTTGGGGTCAATAGTTTATCGTGCTGGAAACATCATTTTAGAACGTTAGTTATTTTTAGTTATATTTATATATATATATTTTTATAAATATATATCGATGATTTTTTTTATTATTTTTACATTTTTTTGCATTGCATTTACTTATTTAAATTATAGGTAAAAAAATACGGGAAGATAATTATGAAGAAAATTCAGATGAACAAATGACTGATGAAGAATCAGTGTTGACATCATAAATTTTTCTAAAAACAAATTTTATTTCATTAAAACAAAGTTTTTTTTTATAAGATTGTATCCTGTTTTAGATTTTTCGCTTTCTTTTATTACTAATCTCTTTAATTTTACAATTTTTTAATTCACATTAACACAACATTTATCCTTTGATTTTATACATTTTATATTGTTATATGAACTTTGCACTTTTTTAGTATTTCTAATTTTTTTTTTTTTTTTTTTTTTTTTCTTAACCAAAAATATATATTTTAATTCATTATTTTTTATTTATTATGGGTAATATTTTATTTCAATAAATAAAGCTTTCATATATTATTACTGTTGTATTATTCATTAAAAATCAGATTACCAAAGATTTTGTAATTAGAAACATTTTATAAAAGAAAAGAAATAAGAAAAAAAAACAAAATTTTTGTTACTTTTTTTTTTTTTTTTTATGATAAAAACAATTAAATAAAATAAATAAAATAATTATTTTTTTAATTGTTCTTTTTTATCACTTTATTTTCTTTATTATTATGTTTAGAAGTGATTACAATTATATTTATTTTCCATTTTAATAAAATATAATCAAGATTTTATCTTCTAATTAAAAAAAAGCATAAATTTTGTTATGAAATTTGAAATATCTTTCGCCATATATTTCAAATTTCTAATTTTTTTTTTATCTCTTTTCTTTTTTCTTCTAATATATATTCTCATCATTTTTTTAATGAATTATACAACATTATATTTTTTGTTTATTTAAATAATATAAAAAAAATTATATAAAAAAACATAAAATTATATTGGATATATTATAAATTTTTTGAAGATAAATTAAAAAGTAAATATAATAAATACATTAAAAAATGTAATAATTCAATACTTTAAAATATCCAACTAAAGACATTATATATACACATAATAATAAGAACGAAATAATATAGTATATGTCCTTTAAATATATTGTAGAAGGAATATAAAACGTAATAAAAAGAAAAATATTCACATAAAAATAAGAAAGAAATATTAATTCTTTATTATTTTTTTTATCAATATAACTAATTATATTAAAAAGGTTAATTTATATATTCTTTACAATAAAAATATTTATTTCAAATTAATTTATTTATAAAATATAGTATCTAAAAATATATTCTCAAACATACTGTAAATATAGTAAACATAACTAAAAATGAAAATAAAAATAAATAAAAAATGAAAAAAATAATATAATATAAAGATTAAATAAAAATTTTTAACATTAAAGAAAATATATAATTTAAAAAAATAAAATAAAACTAAAAATAAATTTTCAACAGAATAATTAATAAAAAAAAAAAAAAATACAAAAAAATAAAAAATAATTACAATGTAATAAAAAAAAAAAATGTAACAGCAACCCTTAAGTTTTTATTAATTTTTTTTTTTTTTTTTTTTTTTTTTTTTTTCTATAATACACTTTATTAATGCAAAAATGATTTAAAAAAAAAAAAAATACCATTTTTCTTTTTTTAATGTTCATTTTTTTTTTTTTTTTTATAATTTATAACCTTTATATTAATCGGAATCTTAATATTTTAATTTATAAAATTTAAAATAATTTATAATGAAAAATATAAAAGAAAGATGCTTCGTTTTCTTATATTAATTGCAAATATATTAATTTGCATATGTTTTTTAAATACTAAATATCAAATACAGTTAGACTACAGTATACCTAGTGCATTAATAAATTATGATAAATCATTAAAATATACTAACGTTACAATAGGAAAAGATTCTTTTCTTTGTATATTAAACAAAAAAGATGATAATTATGTAGATTATTGTGAGAAATATGATTTATTTAAAAATATAGATAATAATGACATTAATAATTACGTTGAAGAAAAATTAAATAAAAATTATCTCTTAAATTATGTAGACAAAATTAATTACAAATTATCCTTAAGTGATGAAAACTCAAAAAATAATGAAATTAAAAGAAATTATTATAAAAAAGATGAAAAAAATATTATCCATAAAAAAAAGAGAAACGTAAACAGGAAAATAAAAAAAATTGCAAAAAATGAAAATAAAGAATCTGATTTGTATGAAAATGGTAGAAGTAATGAAAATGAAGAATTAAATAATATTTTCAATTGTAATTTTAAAAAAATATATGATTATATTTTTTATAAACGTAAATTTAATGCATATCATAAAAATAGAATATATGATAAAATTAACGATCAAGTCACACTAAAAAATCATATTATAAAAGGAAAAATGCTAACCTTAAGTGATATGTGTATTGATGTATTTTCTAATGGTGATATATTAAAAATATGTTTAAATAAATCAATAACTTTTATCACAAATAGGTATTCTAATTATCACAAAAAACATGTATCTATATCTAATTATCTAAATGGAAAAGATTTATTATTTACAAATAATACTGTTGTACAATATTATAGTGATGGAAAATATTTCTTCGAAGTATTATTTCTATGTGGTAATAACAATTTAAGAATTAATAGTTTTGAAAGGTTATATAATATATACTATCCTTTAATTTTTGAAATATATGAGCGTTTAAATATGAATTTAACGAGATTTCATAATATTATAATTAAAAAATTAAAATATAATAATATTCATTTTTTCAAAACATTTTCTTTGTATACTTATAGTGATAGTTATTATAATTCATTAAAAGATAAATTAAATGAAATCTTAAATTCTTATTATACAAATGTAAATTATTTATACCGAATTACTTTAAGTGCATATATGTTTTGTGATTATACAGATCAAACAAATCCTCCAAATCATTATCTATTAAAAAACTTAATGAATAAATGCTATAATTTTAGTAAAAATGATGAATATATATACGAAATTTGCTTACCATACAGTGTTATTAAATATAAAAAAGATAGCTATGGAAAAGCAAAATATCCCATTGTTTTATTGGGTTCTTCATATGTTTCTGTTAATGAGGGAAAACCATTTTATGAAAAAACATATGATTCTTTTCCTGTTTTAAAAAGTGATTATATAAAGAAAAAAGATACTGAAAATTATTTTAAAGTAAAAAATAAATTTACAAATCCTAATTCTTTATTTACATCACTTTCATCTTCTGCAGTTAACTCTGTTTCGAATTCCAAGTACACTCCTCTTTCTACTTTTGGTTATACTAGTACTTTCACATCTGATTATTCACCTTCCTCTACTTCATTTTCCTCTTCTAATCCTTCAAATTTTCATAATTCTTATCCTCCTTTCTTTTATACTTATCTATTATCATACTCTCCACTGGATTCAAATAGTATTCCATATGTAAGTTCATATATTATTGATAAACCAATGGAAATATTAAAGTATGGAAATGAAAATTTTTATAAAGCTTTAGCAATTGATTTAAAAGGAGAAAAATGTAAAGACTCTTTAGATGAAGTTTATGATTACATAACAACAATTTACTTTGATTGCTCACTACATTTTAAAAACGAAGTTCAAACAAAAATTATCAATGTATTTCAGTCAACTGAATGTCATTATTATGTTCATATATCTTCTCCTTTTATGTGTGCACATCCAACCCTACACACTGCAGTACCATCAAAAAACGAAGTTATCAAATGTTTCAAAAACGTTTATGCAGCTAGTTCCCAGTTGCAAAACAATTCCCAAAATAAGTATGAATATGAAAATATATATAAAAATAATATAGAAGAAATAAGAAAATATGAAAATTTTATTGAGAATAGCAATTCAGATAATACCTTTACAAATGAGAATGTTTTAAGAGATAATTATATTAGTAATGAAGATAAATTTCATTTGTATGAATTTAATGCATTAAAATATAAAATCTTTAAAAATAAAGATTTGGTTTATTTAGAAGCTTTACCAAAAGAAAAAAAAATAGAATTCGGTCAAAAACATGATTTTGGTTTAGGAAATTATTTAAGAAAAAGAGTTTATAAAAGTAGTCCATTATTTCATATTGGAAATGTTGTTAAGCATAAATATTGGAATTATCATGCTACTGTGGTTAGTTGGGATTTTGTGTGTTATGCACCTAATGAGTGGAAAAAAAATATTTATTCTGAATATCCAGCTGAATTTAAAAATACTGTTCATTATCTTCTTTTAATAAATAAAAAAAAAGATAAAAATTATGAACAAAATTACATGACCCATTCAAAAAAAAATTATTTCAATAAAAATTTCATAAAAAATGGTATTAACAAAAAGACATTTGATTTTATTAATTCAAACGAAATATATGATGAGAATTTTCATTTTGCTTATGTGCCAGAATCAAGTTTAGTTTATAGTGATAAAATGATATATAGTGAATATTTGTCACAATTTTTTGAAAAATATAATGACTTTTTTCATTTTTATATTCCTAAAAAAAATCATATTTTATGGAAACTTTTTCCTTATGACTTCTTCAATTTAGTTTATTGATATGTACACTTATTTTTAAAACATTAATGATAAAAAAAATGAAATGAATAATCAAACCAAAAATATATTTATTAATTTTAATTTATATATATATTAAAATTTGTAGTAAACAAAAAAAAAAAAAAGAATAAAAATAAAAAAAAAAAAAAAACATAAAGTAAAATAAAAATAAATATAAATATATGTTTTTATTATATTATACAAGAAATTATAAAATATAACAATATAAAAAATAATTAAAAAAAATTTTTTTTTAAATTGATTTAGTAAATATGTAATTTTATATATTTATTTTTTTAAATTTTTTCTTTTATATTTTAAATAAGAAATAATACTAACAAAATTTGATAGTATCATATCTTTTTAAATTTGTATTTTTTTTTTTTATTTTCAACAAAATTGTATTATTGAATACTTTCGTGTTTAATAATTAAAATGAAAAATAAATTTTTCTATACGTTAATTTTATTTAAAAAAAAAAAAAATTATGTTCAATATGTTAAAATTTAAAAACCCAAATCAAAATTATATACTTCAGCATTGTATATTATCCTTTGCAGTTCAGATGTATATTTACATATATTTTTCCTTATGTTGCGCACATTTCTTCAATATAAATAACCATAATTATAGGAAGCATAATTATATTTACTTCATTTCAATTTTTATAACCACTTACGAATTTTCTATTAATTCTTTTAATTTATTACTATCATGCAACTCTTGAACTTTATCTATTCCTCCTATAAATTTGCTATTGATATACAATTGCGGAAATGTAGGCCACTTAGAATAAATTTTTAAGGAATTTCTTAATTTTTCGTTATCTAAAATATTTACAGTGTGAATTTCTTTAACTTTATTTAATTTTAATATATGTATAGCTTGCTTGCTATATTTACAAAAGGGATTTAAAGCTGTACCCTTCATGAACAAAACTATGTTATGTTTTTTTAATATATTCTCAATTAAATTAATCATGTCTTCATTCAATTCATCTTCAGATTTATTCATAGTATTTATATCTCCACCTTCTTCTTTATTATTTTTTTCAGTGTCATATGATTCATAATTGTTAATTTTATCATCATTTTTATTGTTATTCATTGTTTTTTCTTCGTTTTTTTCGTTTGATTTTGTCTCATTAAAAAGTTTATTACTTTTATTAATAGTATTGAAATAATCTTTTTCATTACTTACGAAGTTATCTTCATAATTACTATTTTTTTCATTCTCCCCTTTTTCATTTGTAAGAGAGTTTTCATTATTTAGAACATTTTTATAATTTAAATTATCAATAAATTTTTTTTTTTGAATTTCTTTTGGAGTAATACTATTTTTTTTTTTCTCGTTTTCAAAAATTTTCAAAATAGTATCAGAAGATTTTTCATATTTTATATTATTTTTGTTATTTCTATTTTCACAGAATGTCATTACATTTTGTAATTTTGTAGATATTTTTAGTTGAAAGATATTTTCTGAAATATGATCCATACAATTTGAATAAATGTTATATACACTATACAAATAAATAATATTTGTTGCTTTCTTATATCTATTCATTTTTTTTTTTTATTCTTTAAATGTGAAATTAAATAATTTTACATATAACTATTAGCACATTAAATTATGTAAAATAAAATTTTTTAAAATTCGGAAATGTTTATATTAAAATTAAGGTAAACTTTCACAAATATTTTTTTTTCATAAAATTTTAATTTATTGCATTATTTAAAATATAAAAAAAACAATTTACACAAAAAAAATTTTCATTTACCATAAAAACTTTTTTTTTCTTGTTTTATAATTTATATTCATTAATATATTAAAATAATTATATTAAGAAAATTTACATTCTTATGTTTAATTATAGCATAGGATTTTTTTTTTTTTTTTATCATCTTTTTTTATGCTGCATTAACTATTTTTTAGTAATAATTCAAATGTTGAAATATGTAGGATGGTTTGACAGGTAACTAAAGAATAGTTAGGTACTAAATTATATTTTTGTAAAATTTTCATAACTCTTTGGTGAGCTATATTTAAATCAATTTTATTTGCAACAAGAAATTTAATAAATGAATCATTATTTATATAAACATCTTTTAAATTTTTGATTGGTAATGAGGATATTTTAATAGATAATAAAATAGAATCATTTTCTTTGCTTAAAATATTTAATTTCTCATTGTAAGTGTTTTTAAATGGGCATGGCATAAATCTCCATATCTTATAATTTATATTTATTTTTTTATTATGAAATGTATATATATTATTATTTGTGTCATTTATTACATTTATATTATTTGAATTATTTAAAGTATTTAAATTATTGGTGTAGCTATTATTGTGTATTATTTCTGTATTTTGATCCCCTTTTAGTTTAAGTAATTCTTCGTTACTTTCTAAAACCATATAACTTATTTCCTTTTTATCCATAGAAAATGGAGTAAATATTTCAATAAATTTACTGTTATTTTTAAAATTTTTTTTTTGTTTGTTATCTTTTAAATTTTCATCATAATTCTCAATCGTGAAATCAGCTTCAATAAATGGCATTGATGGGATCTCCGCATTTTTTGAAATCCAAAAATATAAATGCTCATTGTAAGATAAAACACAATTAAAAACTAATGAAGAAATTTCACATAAATTATTTTTATCATGTATTATTTTATTAATTAAAATAAAAAAAAAAAAAATACTATTATAACTCATTTTTAATAACCATATTCTTATATATTTGTAAATTATATTAAGTGAACAATTTATTTTTGAATTTTCTTTTAAAATATTATCCTCATATAAAATAAATCTTTTATTCTTATCTTCTATATAATTATTATTATTACTTCTGTTAGACGTATTACAATAAAACCAACATTCATCTTCATCGACATTTTCCCCAACATTTTCAAAATATATACTAATCGAATGTGATAAATAACGTATACAATTTTCATTTATATTCTTAGATAAATTTGAAAGTTTATTAAAATTGCTTAATTCTATGTTTTCTTTATTGTTATCTATGCATTCTACGTTATTTGTGTTTTTTTTTAAAATATTCAAGTTATTATTAAAATAAGTATTATGTTCATTAATATTTGTTACATTAGCGTCATTATTTTCTTTAATTAATGAAATTTCATTTTCTGAAGTTATGTTATTATTAATATTCTCATCACAAAATTCTATTTTATTATCATTTAAATTTTCACCTATAAAATATTTATTAAGAAAATATTTTTTCTTCTTAAAACTTTTATAGCATGATTTTAAATCATCCATGTTTTTTAATTTTAAAATTCTCAAATAATACGTTTTTTCTATAAAATATTTTTCTTTAAAATTTTTTTTCTCATCGTCAATTTTCAAAAAAATCTCGCTATTGTAAGAATATGCATTTATTAAATATTTTAATTTGTTTGTATCTATTTCTTTAATATCTAATTTATTCTTTAATAAATCAGATATATTGCTATATTTTTTTTCTTTTAAAATTTTTATATTTTCGCATTTTTCTACATTTTTGCTTTTTTCATTATTTTCCATTTTATCAGTTTTTATTTCATTATTATTATTTACATCTATTTCTTCTTTTATTTTTAATTTTTTATGTTGTAAACTTTTTATTTCATCTTTTTCTCCTTCTATAGAGAAATTATTATCATTCTGGCTACATGACCAGTATTCTTTATTATATGATAATAACGTTTCATAATTCCTTTTATATGATTTTTGATTTTCATTATTTCTTATTTCATCTAAATATAATGTCTTTATATTATATATAAACCAGAATATATGTATAAAAATACATTCATTTTTTTTATTATCATCATCATCATTTCTCAATTGTTCATTTTCATTTTGAATATTTAATTCTCCCTTACTTTCACAATTATTTATTTCTTTTATTTCATTTTCATTTTTATCTAGTTCATTTTCTTTTTTTTTTAATGCTGTTATATATTGAAAAACGTTATTTATTTCAAAATCATTTTTTAAAGTAATATTTGTATAGTGAACTTTTAATTGTTCTATTAAAATTAACCAAACTTTTAATGTTCTTAAAAATTCAATAAAAGGACAAAGTGTTGCATCAAAAAACAATGGAGGAAAAAAATTAATTTCGGATAATATTATCTTGTTTTTTATTTTTAATATGTATTTTATATTTGATATAAACATGTCATATTCTTCAAATATTTTCAATTCATTTTCAAAGAGTTTTTTTTCATCAATATTTTCATTAAAATTTATATTGTCATTAATGAAATAAGATTTATCTTCATTATCTATTAAATTACAAAATTTATATTTATCCCCCTTTAAATTTATTAAATTACAAAAGTTTAAAAATAAATAGATAAAAATATCTTCTTCATCTAAGTTATCAATTATAATATTATTATGAAAAGTATTAAGTGAATAATTTATATTAACATTCATATCATTTAAATTATTATTTAAATTTTTTATATCATTATTTAAATTATTTAGGGTATTTTTATTATCAATTATATTGTTTGTATTATTACTTATATCGTTCATATCATTATTTTCAACCTTCATACTATCTTTTAAATTTTTATAATCATTATCTTTATTTAAATTATACTTAATATTATTTCTTGGGGGAATAAAAATGTTGTGTAATTTATTTACATCTATTTTATTTTCTTCTTCAAATTCATCTTTTTGATTGTTATTTATTCTTAATTTTGAAAAGTAATTTTCAAATATTTCTAAAACTTTTTCTCTTTTAAAAAACTTATTTATACAAGCTTTGTTCTTTTCATTCTTATCTGAATCATTAAAATAAGGAATAATAATAACTTTTGAAAAAAATTCAGGGTCAATAATAATATAAAAAGATAAAATATCGTTATCAATTTTTATAGGATTAAATTTTAAATTAACAGTTAAAATATTTTCATAATGAAAATCGAAAAATATATTTTGATTAACTTGGTTTAAAAAATTAATTTTGTTTAAATGATCATTTGTTTTGTTAATAAGAATATAAAATGAATGATGGAATTCAAATGTTAAACAAATAAATTTTAAGGTATTGAAAATGCTTCTATTTTTTTTTAAATAAATATAAAAATTTTTTTTTTCAGTTAAAAATATTTTATTTATACAATCAATAGAACAATTAAATGTAATATCTATAAATAATAAATTTTTTAAGAGGTCTTCATAATTTAAATAATTAAAATAATTTGGCTCATTTATGTTAATATGGTTTGTAAGGGTCACATTTTTTTTATCATTATAAGTTGAGAATTCTTTTATGTGAGCAACGTTTGAATTTCCTTTTTCATAATTGTAACCATATTTTTCTTTCTCTTCATTTAAAATAAGATTATTATTTAAGATGTTTAAATCAACAGAACATGTAATATCTTTATTGTAGTTACAGAAATACAAAACGTGAATATTTGATAAATGACAATTAGTAATTGTATAATTTGAGAAAATTTTTTCTGCATAATAGAGTTCATTGGAAAAACTTAAAATTAAAAAAGTTTTAATAATAACTGAAAATATATTTAATATATTTATTGATGAAAATTCATCTTTTACAACTACATAAATTTTTTTTAATAAAATCCATTCATGTTTTTCCTCTTGAAATTTTGATTCATTTTGAAAATTTAATTTATTCTGACTATTATCCTCTATATAATTACAATCCGTCTGTTTTATATTGTTGTTATTCTTTTTTCTTTTTTCTAATCTCATATTTACAACTATATTACCACAAAAAAGTTGTAATTCACTGTTTTCATTAATATCAAAATTATTTATTTTAATATATGTTTTTTCTTTAATAGGAATTTTGAAAAATAATGATCCACATTTATGAATTTTGATTAAAAAGGATGTATCTTTTCTCTGTTTGTTTACATATTCATTATTTATAAAATATTCATCTAATGAGCAATGTAAATCTAAGATGTAATTATCTATGTAATCATTTGAATATTCGAAATTTATATCATTTTCATGATTCAAATTATATTTACTTATAAAATATTGCAAGTCTAATGCATTTTTATTTTTCATTGATTTAAAATTATTATAATACACATCATTATTAAAATCAAACATGCTGTGTTCAACATCTTCTTTTTTTTCTTTTATACTATCTTCAACAATGTTAAAAAAGCTGAAAATAGATTGACAATAAAAATTTACTTTTGAAATATTATATAAAATAATAAACATATTTAAAAAATTATTTATTAAATCTCTTATACTGTCAAAATAGATATCAAGTTTTTTATTCAAAGAATACTTTTTATGAATCAATGGAATTAGAAAAAAGTTTTTTTTATTTTTTCTTTCGTAGTTTATTTCATTTTCTTTTTTTGAAACTTTATTGTTATTTTCAAAAGATAAAATTATGTAAGTAGCAAATATATAATTTTTTTCCAATAACATGCATAATAATAATGGTGTGTTATTATTAATATAAATAGTATAATAAAAAATAGAAAAAAAGTTATTTCTATGATTTGATTTTTTTTTACATTCATTATCATTCTCTGAAATTGCTTTAATATTCATAAAACTGATACTTCCGTTATTATTTTCATTATTATTTACACAATAATCAACATTACTCTGTATTCTCTCATCAATACTACCATTATTAATGTTATCTTTAATATTTTTATCATTGTCACATTCGTTGTTGTTTTTGGTTATATTATTATAAATACTATAATAGTTATTTTGATATTGTTTTTTATTATAACTTTTTAAATGATCTTTTTTTATCAAATTCTTCAGATTTTTTTCAAGTTCTTCATTATTATTATATTTTACATTTCCTTCTGCATACAAATAAAAATAAAAATCAATAAGTGAAAAAAATTGTTCTAGAAATTTCGTTAAGATAATATTTGAAGAATAATCATATTTTTTCAAAAAATCATATAATTTTAATTTGTGAAAAAAGAAAGATGGATAAAAATCTTTTTTCTTGAAATGAAAATCAAAGAATTTTCCTGGATTTATATTAATAAAACGTTTTTTTAAAGAATTATAAAAGTATATAAATAAAGAAAAATACTTTAATAAATAAATTATATATATAATTAATTTTAAATTATAATTTAGGCTAATAATATTTATAAATGTGTTATCCCAATGACACTTAAAAATAAATTTTTCATTTTGCATATTTATGAATAAATCGATTTTTTGTTCATAAAATGTGTATCTTAAAATGTAAAACTTTCCATTTGGTTTTTTCACTTTTATTATTTTTAATTTACTTTTAATATCTACATAATTATCATCAATATTATTATTCGTTTTGTTGTTTTTGTTATTTTCATTGTATTTATTTATAATTTTCTGATTAATAACTTCTTCATTTGTCACTTCTTTAGAATTATCAAATTTTAGATTGACATCATCTTTTTTATACTCTTCCATTTTATTTTCATCAATACATTTTAATTCATCTTTAATATAATATATATCAAAAAAGTAATCCAATACTAATTCATGAATATTAGTTATATTATTTTCAAAAGAATTTTCACTACTTTTCAAATAATCCGTTATATTTAGATTTTCATAAGCAGAGAAAAAATTGTTTAAATTATAATTTGTACAAAATATTTTTAGAATAGAAAAAAGAAAATATGAAATGCAATGTGTGACTTTTACTAACCAATTTTCTATGTGAATATATAGAGGATTATACACAAAAATCTTTTTGATTTTTTCTCTTAAAAAAATACAAAAACAAAATTCATAATACGATAGAAGATTATCAAAATGATAATTTTCTTTTTTTTTAAAATAACTAAAGGGCCATAGAAATACTTTTATATTTCCATTTACACTATTCAAAACAAATTTTAAAATAACTTTTTTTTGACTATTTTTATTAATTAATGGCACTTTTTCAAAAAAATTGTAGATTTGTTTAGTTAATTCAAAATCATATAAATGGATGTCTAAATTAAGTAAAGAGGTGTCATCATTTAAATTATAATGAGAACATGAAGGAATAAATTCTATTTTCTTATTTTTAAATAGCTTATATATTTGAAATTTTTTTTTATTATAATTAAATGAATTATAATTATTTATGCATCCTTTAATAAACTCTAAAATTTGCTTACTACAATAAAAATGACAAATTCTATATATTTCATAAAGAATATCATGTATCATTAATTCATCCTTATAATTCCCTTTATTACTTTCTTTTATATAATAATTTTCAATTACGTTTATATTCTTAGTACTAATATCTTTTTTAGTGTTTTTATCAAATATTTCATTTTCATCAAATTCGAAATCAAATTCGTATTTGGTCTCTTTATCATCATCGTAATCATCATCATCATCTTCTTCATCTTCGTCAACCTCATTTTCTTCTTGTTCTTGTTCTTCTTCATCTTCATATTCATTTCCTTCATTTTTGTGTTTATCTTCTCTTTCAGATTCTTCATCTCCTATTTGTTTGGTTATTATGTTATGTTTATCTTTCTTTTGTTGTTCTCCTTCTTCTTGATTTACAATTATATTTTTAGAAAAATGATCCATATTTTCATTAGAAGTTATATGGTTTGCATTTTCTACTTGTTCATCATTTAAATTATTGAGATTTTCTATGTTAATATTACCCTGACTATTCATTTTCTTAAAATTAATCCTTGATATAATTTTATCAAAATTTTGTTGTTTTTTTTGTATAATAGAATAATTTATCATATTAATTAAATTAAAGTTATGTGAAGGATGTAAATTCATATTATTTAAAAATAATATATCTACTTTTAAAATTTTCCAATTTAAAAAGTCACTTATGAAAAATATTTTCACTTCATTTATTATATCCATTTCAATTAATCCATTAGAAAAAATAAAATTTACTTTTTTTTTAGGTATCTTAGATATGTAATAATTTATTAAAAATTCATCAGTAATTCTCTTTTTCACAATACGTGTTTCATGCATATCTAATTCTGGTAAGAAAAAATCAGTTGGACTTTTTAAAATTTGTTTAAATAATGAGGGAAAGCGAGTATATTTTTTAGTTGATAAACAATCCATCGCACAAAGAATATTGTTTTCATTTAATTGTAGGCTAATTGTTTTTATTTTGCATAAATATAAATCATATTGATATTTTGTTTTTAATTCTTGATAATTTTCTTTTAACTCAAAAATATATTTTATAATTTCAATTATTTCTTTATAGTGATCCCTAAATTTATCTAATTCTAGTAATTTTAAAAAACATTCTCTCATATGCCTACAATATTGTATTAATGCACTTCTTAAATAATCATAATTTTCCCCATTATCATTGTGAACTCTTTCACAAAAAAAATGCCAATCATTTATGGATCTTTTTACTATCTTTTTTAAAATCAAACCATAATTTATATCTTTATAATCCTCATATTCATCATTTTCTTCAAATGACATCGTTTTTTAATTTTTATCTTTTACTTATAAATATATATATATAATATATATATTTGACTTTTTAACAATTCGGTAAAAAAAAAAAAATTTTCTTTTTATTCATGTAAGCAACTATTAAAATGAACAACTTTTTGTTTTCTTCTTACTTTTATATAATTATGTATACATTCACTACAATAAATATATATATATATATATATATATATTTTTTTTTCTAACCATTTATCTTATTAAAATTTAAATTGTATTACAAACTATGTATTCTGTTATTTTATTTTATTTTTTTTTTTTTTTTTCATATATTTCGAAGTATTATTAAATTTTAGTGAAAATTAATAAAAATTCATAAAAAATTAAATATACTTTTTTTATTTTTTTTTTTACATTATTTTAAAATAATTCCTCAAAAAATAAAATAATTAAAATTATAGAAATAAGTTTTCTCCAATTTTTATGAATAATAAATTATTTAGTTTTAAAACAAAAAAAAAAAAAAAAAAAAA